CTTCGGGGCTTCCGAAGGCGGCTGTTTTGCAGTCATTGACGCAAAATACATTTGGGCTTATGTCTTTCAACAGATATGGTGGTCTACGCCTGCCAAAGTAACTACCCCCTAAAGGGGAGCTTTTTGGTGCCGGTGCTTGCACTAGCATAAGACTTAACGCCAATAGGTTACCAATAGTGGCTGCAGATGCTTCGGATGAGTGACAGTAGATGCTTCGGATATGTGACATCAAAGTCCACTGCCCCCCCCCCCCCCACCCTTTGGAGCCACCCCTTTGGAGCCACAATTGATCAATAGCAGTTACAGGAGGTTAAATTTATTTGAAATAACAAATGTCCGTGGCAGAAGACGATGTATTAAAAACATAGTCTTGTTCTTGCAAGCCTATAATGATCAGCAATTTTAAACAAATCACCTATCTTTAGCTTTGTAATGTTCTTTTAGTTATTCTATGTTCATGTGTCTAAATAAGTGGTTCTGTGTTTAGATCGACAATCTCATCTGACGCTGATCCCTATTTAATAGTTCAGACGAAATTTAGCTAATAACATTTGTAGACCATTTTCCAATCTTCTTTTTGTCTCAGTCAATCTGAACTCTTTCCCATTGTAAAGTAATACGTTCAGAAATTGAATTATTATTAAATTTCGTATAAAGTGATGTATTTTTGATGATGTATTCAAGTGTATTCTAAGGTTAGCGTTCGACATTCCAAACCGATAGCCTTTCTGGGTCTCCAATTTGCCACCAGCCGTCATTTAACAAAGCGAAACGGGCATAACTTGGTCAAATCTTAATCAAAAGAATAGCAGTAGACAATTCAAATTTTATATTTTATATTTTACAAAAAAATTCTGATCATGTGGATTAGCTCCCACACATTTAAAATGGAATATTTTGAATTTTATCTCCACACGACATTTCACTCGATTTCAATAATTAACTTTTAATTTAGATAAATAAATTCTCTATATATAACTTATTACAAGAAATTACAGTCCATCTAGTAAATCTAATTTCAGCTCACCGAGATTTTGGTTTCGAGAGACTAACTTGACAGTAAGAAGTCTCTATCCTCTTTAGACAATTTCCTTATTTTACACAATTGAACAATTTTTCATTATTTTCTTTCTAAGCAAAGTTAATATAACACGGTTACATACTGGACTTGTTGTCTCCGAGGACGAGCTTTAGTCTGATTATTAGCTGGTTTTTACAAGATTTTCCGGCACTGGCTTTTTAGACATAAGCCTATATTTTCTTCTTAAGATTTTTTTCATAATTATTTTTAAAGTGAATGATCTGGGTCACATTATTAGAATTTAGTTTGAAATATTTTATAAGGAAAATTCAAAATGCAGCTATTATAGGTGAAAATAATTTGAAAACCCACAGTTTAGCTTTATTATCCAGCCCCTCTTGTCTATGCACAACTGCGACGAACGATGGAACTTTTGTTTAAAATCATTGTAATTGAGTCTACAGTGCCATTTGATTTGATTGGTTGTAAATTCACATCCATTTTGGTACAGGGCAACATTAATTAAAAGAAATGCTGTGATTATGAAAGCCCCTATTATCCAATCCCTATTATTATATGCACAGCTGCGACGAAAGATGACAGGAAAAGTCTGAGACTACCTACAGTTTTGACGTTTCATACAAAGGAAGATTGTTGTTGGTCTATGAAACAAGGATCCGATCTTGTAAAGCACTCGAAGAATGTTTTTTCCCCTATTACGTTCAAAGCGACTGATAGTTACCGGTTTGGAAAAAGGAGTGATTCACGCAAAAATAAAAAATAAATTTCTGTGGAAGTTGAATACGTATGTTTATTCAAAGTTTTTATATCTATTCTCAACTTTAACGTCTCTATGTGTCAAGTCTTTTTATCTGTAAATTTCAAACATTTCAACATAACCTGTTATTTACGCGTTGCATGTAATGATCAAATTAAAGAATTTTATTTCACGGAGTCGTTGGTATTCAAAGAAAACTTTCCAGTCTGAACAGCTGAGGCTTCCAGTAACGACTCAATTATAGCTTAGAACAATTTTTTCCAGTGAAATTCGCGAGGAAATGTTGGAAACATTTTGATTAATTTTTACATTAACCAGCCGTTTTCTTGGTAATATGATGTTACGAAATTTATCAAAGGCTATATGACTGCAAACGAAAGATTATCAAGTTAAATTTTCATTTTTATCTGAAAACAATTGGCTGCAATAATAAGTAGAAAAAAATCGTTTTCAACTTGGTAACAGATTGCGACTGTGCTTGGCACAATGACTGTTTTCTGTTGTCAGATTCCGCAGTAAAATTTGCTTTAAATGAAATGGCGTGTTTACGCTGTAACATTCTAGACATTGCTCGCTATTTTTGTATTTTTTGTGTGTATAATTGTCAAATTATAAGATGTCTAAATAATGACCACCTTATTTTCAAACAAGCCAACCAGGAAGAATAACTTGAAGCAGCACACTCTTTAACCGATTTGCTATGTAAATTAAAGACGTTCCCATCAACTACAAATTGAACTCTGTAATAAGTCTGTCATTTTAACTAATACGTACAGTGTTCCTAGTTTCCTAACGAATCGTAATAACATTAAATGTCATGTTATGAAACGGAATTCCTGCCATACAGAGTGGAATTTTTCACCATCATCTATCAACTCATTTTGATATAATCTTCAATAAATCTTGATTCAAGACAAATCGATGTCTAAAAAGAACAAGATAAATGGAAATTTTCTACATTTGATGAGTCCCAGTCTTTATGTTTACATAATATTAAAGCTGTTCAACCCTACTTATTAAAATAGATGTGAATGTTTCTTTCACTCATCAGAGTTTTGTCTGATAGATTGAATTTATTGTATTAACAAGAATTAAATGAGGCCATTTTCTTTTGAGAAGTAAGTGATGCTATTCTGATAATGGCACGAATAAACAACTTCATGTAAAGGTTACTTTTACCAAATAGAAAAGGTTACCTCTCCAGAGCGACTGGCATGACTGTCTCAAAATGTGTTACAAGGAATGTCCCATTGCTATCCTAAAGTTCATTGAGTTTTTGTATAGGATAAAATACGACAGAGGGTTTAATAAGTTGCATCCCAAGAAATTTTCTGAGAGAAAGGATTTCGAATAAAAAATAAAAGGGGAAAGTGCTTTATAAACTGACGAGGACCTATTATTTATTTTTTTATCTTGGTTAGCCCACGGACTCACTGTTGGGGAAAATTTTATTCATCCAGTCGTATTGGTTTTGTCATTCATGTATGTTCGTAGCATCTCTAAGACTTTCCTTTTCGCCTGAGAAATTCTTGAAGGATACACACATATCTGATTTCGTATTTGTTATTCCATGCGGTATGTCGTCAAAACTGCTATCACCGATCGGGTATGCTGTAAGTTAATGGCCTCTGTCATCTATCTTTATATTGATTGAAAAATTAGTAAAACATTTAGAAAAGGCGGTTTTCGTCGTAACTATGCCCATAGGTAGACTGTTCCGGAGTTTTAATTTTACTTTAACCGTAATCAATGGACATATAGGTTAGAATGTTGGCACTTTCTTAATGGTCTTACTGTTTTGTAAACAACACAAGCTGTATTTAACACTGTAAAGTCACGCCGATCGAAATATAGCGTGGCAGTCAATGTTAATTACTAATTTTACGAGTATTTTTTCACCACAAAGTTACAACCTTCAGAAATCAGGCACCATCCATTACCATCCGAAAATAAAATCCACCGAATATCGCTACTCTCAGTGGCGGAGCCAGGTTTACGTTCGAGAGGGGTGAGGGGGGCGAGATATTTGAGATTGCCTGAATCTTTAACCTAGTTATGAGAATTTTGCCCGAAAAACTTGCTTTCGAGTCGAGATAAAGATCTATTCTTTAGTCATGGCATCTGGTAAGCCAAACTGATGAATATATACACTTGCATATATTTGAGACGTTTGAGACGTTAAATTTTATATCTATTCTAAGAGGTAGTATTCCTTTAGAAGTAAGAACGATAATTGGTACTAAACAAGAATTAGAATTTCGAATTAGATGAAACCCTAGATGATATGAAGCAATTTCAGATTAGTACCTCGCTTAATGGTACACTATTCATCATTTTCAGATATACATGCCTGATAAATGCATTTCCTTAGGACTTAAGAACAGTAATCAAAGACCCCCCTAAGATTGTTATCGTTGAAATCCTCCTTAACTTGGTCTATAAAATCATTCTGAAAATTAGCAACCTCTCCTAGTATTTTTCCTGTTGACATGTTTTCATTCACTCTACTAAAAGATCTGGGTTTAATAAACCAAATGTAAATAATCCCATAGACAGACAACAAATAAATGGCTTGAGATTTCTAAGTATTAAATGTGTAATTATCATCACATGGATAACGTTTTACTAAAAGTCCATTTTTATGAGCAAACATTCGAAAACAATACGATGTAGATAAAGTATAATTTTTCTTTTCAATACTCAAAAGTACATGTACGGAACAATATTATTTCTATAAATGCATACCCAAAAGAGGTCATGTGAATATGGGATCATTTGTATGATTTCTGTAGATAAAAACACCAATTTCAAACTTCTCAAACAGAAGACACCTTGTGGTTGCAATTTTGTGATCCATGTCAGTATTATTTTATGATTATACCATTGTCAATGCATTATAATTTTATGTTTCATAAATGAGAATATAACATTGTCAATGCATTATAATTTCATGATTCATACATGAGAATATAACATTGTCAATGCATTATAATTTTATGTTTCATACATGAGAATATAACATTGTCAATGCATTATAATTTTATGTTTCATACATGAGAATATACCATTGTCAATGCAGTATAATTTTATGTTTCATACATGAGAATATACCATTGTCAATGCAGTATAATTTTATGTTTCATACATGAGAATATAACATTGTCAATGCATTATAATTTTATGTTTCATACATGAGAATATAACATTGTCAATGCATTATAATTTTATGTTTCATACATGAGAATATACCATTGTCAATGCAGTATAATTGAATATAACATTGTCAATGCAGTATAATTTTATGTTTCATGCATGAGAATATACCATTGTCAATGCAGTATAATTTTATGATTCATACATGGGAATATAACATTGTCAATGCATTATAATTTTATGTTTCATACATATGAATATAACATTGTCAATGCATTATAATTTTATGTTTCATACATGAGAATATACCATTGTCAATGCAGTATAATTTTATGTTTCATACATGAGAATATACCATTGTCAATGCAATATAATTTTATGATTCATACATGAGAATATAACATTGTCAATGCATTATAATTTTATGTTTCATACATGAGAATATAACATTGTCAATGCATTATAATTTTATGTTTCATACATGAGAATATAACATTGTCAATGCATTATAATTTCATGTTTCATACATGAGAATATACCATTGTCAATGCAGTATAATTTTATGTTTCATACATGAGAATATAACATTGTCAATGCATTATATTTTCATGATTCATACATGAGAATATACCATTGTCAATGCAGTATGGTTTTATGATTCATACATGATAATATAACATTGTCAATGCATTATAATTTCATGTTTCATACATGAGAATATAACATTGTCAATGCAGTATAATTTTATGTTTCATACATGAGAATATACCATTGTCAATGCAGTATAATTTTATGTTTCATACATGAGAATATACCATTGTCAATGCAGTATGGTTTTATGATTCATACATGAGAATATACCATTGTCGATGCAGTATAATTTCATGTTTCATACATGGGAATATACCATTGTCAATGCAGTATACTTTTGTGATTCATACATGAGAATATACCATTGTCAATGCAGTATAATTTTCGATTCATACCTGAGAATATACCATTGTCAATGCAGTATAATTTTATGTTTCATACATGAGAATATAACATTGTCAATGCATTATAATTTCATGATTCATACATAAGAATATACCATTGTCAATGCATTATAATTTTATGTTTCATACATGAGAATATAACATTGTCAATGCATTATAATTTCATGATTCATACATAAGAATATACCATTGTCAATGCATTATAATTTTATGTTTCATACATGAGAATATAACATTGTCAATGCATTATAATTTCATGATTCATACATGAGAATATACCATTGTCAATGCAGTATAATTTTATGTTTCATACATGAGAATATAACATTGTCAATGCATTATAATTTCATGATTCATACATAAGAATATACCATTGTCAATGCAGTATAATTTTATGTTTCAAACATGAGAATATAACATTGTCAATGCATTATAATTTCATGTTTCATACATAAGAATATACCATTGTCAATGCAGTATAATTTTATGTTTCAAACATGAGAATATAACATTGTCAATGCAGTATAATTTCATGATTCATACATATGAATATACCAGTTTCGATGCAGTATAAAAAGTAACGACGTCGTATATGATGCAGAGTGCATTGTGTGATCTACCATATAATATGTCTTTGTTTATACTTTAAGTTTATACGATTTCGAGCAATTATTAGAACCATAAAGTAATCACTTGATAGTATTGTTATGCCGTATTGAAGAACAGATTGGTGTCTATTGACTTCATACTTAGACCACTCTACTGGGGAATCAGATTCGAGATTGAATAGAGTTCAAGCTCGACCCTAGGGATCCCACCTTTAACATGGCTAATGAATTCTGACGAATCAAATGTTTTTAATTAAGGATATCGATAGCTGTCCACAAACTAAGAAGAATGTCTAGTTCTTTCAAGATACAGAACTTGTGCTAAGATATTGACTTCGGGAACAAAGATATGCATCATATTTTACTGTTACTGTCAGCCTTGAATGGGCATACAAATTTGGTCAACAAGTGTATACATTCATCAGTTGGACTAACCAGATGTCACTCATGACTTAAGAATAGAATCTCTATATAAGACTTCTCTTAGCATGTTTCAAGATTACGTAGTTTAATGGATTATAGACAGAATCTTTTGTATAGTTATGACACCAGGCAAGTCCACTGAGGAACAAAGTCAAATTTTAACCTCATCCAAAGAGGTAGTATACCTTTAAATTGATGTTAGAAGTTGTTATTCTCGTGAGAGTAAAACGTGCTGTTATGATCAACGACTGTGTTATTTATGTTATAATGCACAGACCAATTAAATTTAATTCAAGCTTTTAAACCAAGCTTTTCGGATGGCAGGGCATGTTCAAAATTCGTAAAAAGATTTGATTCCCTGATGTCGTGACCAGTTATTTTCGGTAGAGCTACCAAATCTTATTAAAATCAATTTATTTGAATTGACAATATTATTACATATAATTCAGTTCTGATAAATATGGGTTTATCTGTTTTGTCTTTCAGTGGTAGTTATGTGTACATCATTAGACTCGGCTAGAGAATTAATGATCTCAGCAAGAAAACTGAATTTTGATAATGGAGAATATGTGTTTATTAATGTTGATTTATTCAGTGGGTATGTGAATGATTTTCTTCCTTTCAAACCAGTCATGTCTCCAAAGATTTGTACAAAACTTAACACCTCTAACAACTGTATCTTCCGGGTCAATTTTAGCTTCCTATTATTGTGTTTGAAGCACGGAAATAAGCCTAATCAGCAAACCAATGTGATATTTTGATGGAAATATCATTTACGTATCAATTTACGGAAACAAAATTCACTTTCCTCACGAATCAACCAAGATACTGCTGTGGACTAAAAGATGTCAAAGTTTGAAAAGAAAAAATGGTAAAACTAATTGAAAATGAAGGCTACTTTGAAATGTTCAATTATTAATACCAACCTTACTAATTGGCGATAATTGTATCGTGGACTGGTTATTAGTATTTTCTGTGCTCCTAAATAAAGTAAAGTCATTAAAATCTTATTAAAATCTTTTATTAAGAATTTGTGTTTGGCGGAATGAATGTTTTTAAAAAGGACACTGATAGCATCAATTTGCATCAGACGTCTGTGGTTCCTGCAATTCTACTCAAACTAAATGTATGAGTGATGAAGTCACTAATCACGAAAGGGCCTTATGTCATAATGCATTTTTTGCGATTAGTGACGTTATAAAACACTTGTTTTTTGGAATTGCATGAACTACAGACGTCGGAATGAAAAATGGTATGGTACAAATTGATGCTATCAGTGTCCCAGATAAACGTAAAAAAAATTATAAAACCTCTTTACAATCACTTTTAAGCTATTGCTGGATGATAACGGATATGTTCATCAATAAAGAACTATAATAGATAATGCCTAGAGATATAGTTTATTACATGGTTATTGTCTATATACAACAATAACTTATACAATTATATCAAAGTATTTGTGTTTCCCCGATGACGAACCAATTTACAATAATTTACAATACCAATTATTATCACTTGATAAGTTTTAATTAAAGAAAACCAGAAAGTTTTTATTAAAATGTTTGTGATTTAAGGAAGCACGCCAGACAAATAGTTAAGTCACAGACAATAAATTGACTCTTTACAATCTTTTGATTTATAAACTTAACTTCTACTAGTAGGTGGTCTCTATTGTTGGGATTAATTATTCAATAGTTTGTCTACAACCAAATAATAAATAAGTTCTGTAACTGACCCGAATGACTACCAAATGAACTCAGGGCGAATTTGTGTTAGAGCGAACTGACACGACTCAACTTTCCAGACCCGTTCCATTGTCAGTTTCCTTAGAAAAAATATTCCCGATATCCTTTATTCAATTGTATTGAACTTCATTGTATTCATTCATCTGAAAAGCGATATTCAATGTTTAAAGGGATTGTAAATTTATAAAATTTTAGGTTTATCGCTGTGACTGATAGCATCAATTCGAACTATTACAATTTTCAATCAGACGCCTGTGGTCCCGAGACAAGCATATTTTCAGATCAGTGGCGTCATCAAACACTTAATTGCAGGAACCACAGACGTCTGATTGAAAATTGGAATGTTGTACATTTTTGCTTTCAGTGTCTTCGATGCACATGAAAATTTTAGAAAATCTCTTCACAATCCCTAAAACTAAATGAAATAGAGATTTAGCCCTGATTTTTGTAGTTCTACGACTGTATATCTTTATATTCCAGTAAAGAACAGAGTGAAAGGCCGTGGTATAGAAAGAACGATACACATGAAAGGAATGAAGAAGCAAGGAAGGCTTTTGAAATATTGATGACTGTCAGACTGCGGGAACCAACGTCCAAGGAATATGTCAAGTTTTCACAGGCGGTTAAACGAAAAACATCACTGATTTATCCTCATTTTACTAATATAAACCACGGGGTTTGTTCTCTTCCTTTTCTTCTAATAGTTCATCAAATCTCAAGCTTTTAGTCCATATTGTCACACTATTCTAATGACTAACAGATACTATTTTTCTTGTTATAGTTATTTCATTGGGTTATTTAACAGGGGTTTCTTTATAAAAACGTCGTAAATTATAACTGAAAATATTTCTAAAGTGTATTTCTCCTTATATTTTTGTATCTTCTTGACCAAACTGAATTTGTTTTATAAGGGTTCATTAGAAACTGAGAGTACAAATTATTAACTAAGCAGTTTTACCTTGTTTTGGTGTTTGGCTTCATAATGGCTCGATATTATTAGTTGAAACTTTTAGAATACGCAAGAGACATATTTCTCTACAATTAGGCGTTTATTTTACTCAAATCCGTACAGTACAAAATAGCATAACTACCGTACCTTTAAAACCTTACGTAATGTTTTTAAATATTTTTGGCATTTAAAAATAAACGACTGGATTCTTTTAGTTACAACTTTCAGATACATTAAAAGGCCCATTTCTCTAGATTTAGGTGTTTAGTTTTCACAAATTTTAGCAAAAAACAATTTTCGATCTTCAAAAAAGTTGAATGTCCCTTTAAGCTTGAACAACAAGAACAATGGTTTTTATATAAAGGCGTTGGTGAATTGGGTTCATAGCTTAATACTCGATTCACAGCAAGATTCGTTATTAAAGCTCCAATAGACAAATTAAACTTCTGGTAACAATTGCGATCACCGTGATGGTCGCGCACTACAACGGCACAAGTCGACAACTAGATTCAAATTTTGCTGATGGCAACTGGGATTTTTCAGTCGCCAATGCGCTTATATCATAAATCTAGCGATAAATCAGATTCGCCCAAATATTACCAAATGCTAGCGGTTGCACTCAGATTCTGTCAGTTGCAAGGTCGACCTAGTCCCCCGTAGGCGATCAATTTGCAGGAAGCTCTAACAAAATTATTCTGACATAAATTTTACTTTCAAAAAGAGTTATTAGATCATTTTGTTCTCATGCAATTTCAAATTATTTTTTAACTTTTCAGTTTAATAGCTTTATTGGCATTTTCCACGATGCTGTTTTGATGTATGCTCAAGTTCTTAATAAAAGTATCGAGGCAGGAAACACGTTCCACGACAACATCAAATTATCTCAAAGTCTGTGGAACCGATCTTTTACTGGTAAGTATTAACACCAACGTAAGAGTCCTTTTATCTTGACATCATGCTGTGTAATTCTAATTAAATGCAACACGTAGAACGGTGAAATCATGTTGGTCTAATTGCAAGGCTTTCATTGAATTGGTGAATTGAAGCCACGAATCTTTTGCTGTATGGAAGATTATAAGATGACTAACAATTTTAATCATTAAAAACATTGAGAAAGCAGTACCCACTCGTAAAATTTGCGTTATACAGATGTCCTTGCTGTATAACTTCCCTCTTACACTGGCTTTCTTCGCTCACAATGTCAAGCTATTACTTAGTACTGATGCCTTGACTGCGATAATCACCTTTCTGTATCAATTAATCAATCGAGTGTAAATTAAGCAATTTGATCGGGTTGTACGCTAGTGAATACAATCAATCAGAGGCCTCGACAGAAAAGTGAACATAAAGCCATAATGTTTACGATTGACATTCGCTGGCTTGCAATCCAATAAAATCGTTGCATTCCGTGATACATTAATAGTGGAAAAAGTTCGTTACAGTTTGACATTGTGAAGATGAAGGTAATTCCTACGGACTTGAACCCACATTTCAAACTAGCTGTTCCGGTGAGGTTTGCTTATTTGGAAAACGTATTGCCGCATAAGATTGGATAAAAGTGTCTTAGTCACTTTCATGGGAATGTTAGAGCGAAATGTAGGTACACTTAACCACCTCTTTGCAACCTCTCTGAGACATATTCTCTGTGCAGGGGTTTTGGATCACGGCGACTCTGGTGATAGCTGATTGCCACCCTCAACTTAAATAAGCAACCACCCTGTGTCATTTGAGTCTCAAGCGGAGACATGGCCAAATCATGTCATTTGACTTACTAACATTATTGGCAATTGCTCTAAATTTTCAAGTACCAATACCGTTAAGTGTTAGACTTATATCCAAAATGAAAGTTAAACCTTGTTTTATCAAAACTATGACATGATTATCAAGTCCAGACGTTTGATCCTATTTTATATTCAAGAAGGATTTATTTCGAGAAGACTTAGTAAATCATCATGAATCATACTTCTATATTAGGCTTACAATTGAAAAAAAATTATATAAGATAAAAGATAAAATGCTTCATGTAGTTTATAATGAAAATTAATTGGTGGACTTTGAAGCTTTAAAATTGAAATGAGCATTTGCAAATTATTTTAGTAAATTAAAGTAAGTAAGCAAAACACCCTATGATTTCAATTCAACAGACTGGGAAGTGGCCATTGTAAATCGACTTATATTCTAATAATCCATCGTAGTGAAAATTACCAGCATCATTTCCAATTCTGTTAAATGGACACTGTAAGCCTTGTATAGATCTGTGAGGTAATTTCAAGCTCTTATCACGCCCACCCCCATATCGATAAGTAAATGAGTGCTTTTTTCAGGATTAAGTGGTCAGATATATATAGATGAAAATGGTGACAGATTAATAGATTATTCTTTGTTGGATCTGAATCCACATACTGGAGTATTTGAGGTATGATTTTCCAAAAATATATAGGCTACTCACCGGTGTCACTCGCAATGCTTCAAGTCTCAAACACTCTTTTATGCAATAGAATGCATTGATCGAAAGATTGTGTCATATAGTGCGGCCTCATATCAAATTAAAAAGGACATGCCCTAGAAACAAATATACAAATTAACAATGCCCATGCAGTGGCGGAGCCAAAGGAGGGGAAGAGGGTGGCAGCCCGACTACCAACAACCCTCCCCCCCCCCCTAGCCCCAAAAGCAAGTTTTTTGGGCAAAAATCTCATAACTAGGCTAGAAATTCGGGCAATCTCAGATATTCCCCCCCCCCCCCCCCAGACGTAATCCTGGCTCCGCCAGTGTGCCTATGTCATAGACAATGATGCCAATGGAATACAAGGTGTTGAAATAGAAAGAAGACAGACTAAAAAGAAATGATAGAAAAATTTGATAATTTCTGGATTTTCGTCTGATGGTCACGGAAGCGCCACCTTCGCACCTTTGTTCTTGCATAGTTTTTGACCATGCTTATCTCCATCAATGAAAGCATCAACCGTTTTTATCATAATATAGGTCGTGGCAAATTACATAGGAAGAGAAAAGAGATTTGTTGGTGTAAAAGGTAAAACGATACACTGGGGTGGTGGTAATACAGGTCCACCTAAAGACAGACCAACTTGTGGTTTTGATAATGCTTTATGTCCACAAGAAGGTAAGTAGAAACATCATGGTTATATAGATATCAGATGTTGACATTGTTATTGTATGATTTTAGTATACTATGTTTTAAGATTAGCGATGGTGTCATCCAATATGTCATACGCCCATTTGTTATTATATTTGATAATATTTCATGGCTGACTCAACAGACTGTTCATTTAATTAGATGATATATAATAATTATTATAAGATATACGTGAATGGTTTGAATATTTGATTTATGCAGTCTTTATTTATTACATTCGATAGAAGTCAACAAAATTATAAGAACATCTCAGAAATTTTCATCTCATTAAATTCTCATAATGGACAGTCTGAAATAGAAATACTGTATAGTCTGATACATAAAACCATACGCACTGGCCATACTAATAGTATTAAGATGTAATAATAAAATAAAACATAGATGAAAGCTTAAGAGGGACGCGAGTAAGCCCTTCTGAATCTTGGACAATTAATTTAGTTGTCTTTAGCCATTGTTTCCACCGATTGCCACCAGTTGCTATTTCCTAGCAAAAATTGGCTCTGATTGTTTCCAATCCAATTGTCAATATGTGTGCGTGAGATCCGATGAGACGATGTGAATCACCATGGTAATTGTGATGGACCAGTTGCAATGAATACAAAACTGGTATGGTTGAACTGGATTTCAAGTACATTCGCACTGGTCTCAGAGGAACATAACGAATCGTGAGCATTCGACTCAAATACTCGAGTCTTTTATTTACTAGAATTTACTGAATTTGTTTGTACCCTTTAAACCATATCTTTCTGATTGTAGAGCCGATGCCAGATTATATAATAGTAATGATAGTACTTGGATCATTGTTGGTGTTGGTTCTCATGGTTGTTTTACTCATTTATAGGTAACTATGACGCAGTGAGTTTTACTAGTCCCACGTCAATTGCAAAATGCAAAACTGGACAATTGCTCCATTTACTTACTTTCAGTGCTTTCAAACTGGTTTCCAAATGTTTAAAGGATGCAAAAATACGTACCAGAAACAATTTTCAATTCAACCATTATAATTTACCACCCGTGCACTTCTGTTATACGGTTGAGGAGAAATCGGCTTAGATCTGCCCCAGGTTCTTTATTTCACCATATAAAGCACAAGATCAGCATGTATTTTTGTTATTTAGACATCTGAAAATGGAAGCTGAATTAATGAAAATGAATTGGAGAATAAGATGGGATGACTTGATGTCACAGACTAAAAATCTTGCTCGTCAAGACAGTCGATATTTTACTCAAAGGGTGAGTCCTTTATTTTCAAAGTAAAAGGCTGTACAACGACGGAAAATTCAAAGCTGTGCTGATTCAGAATGTAATATATGATCCCGGTTTCCAGGAAATTCCCATCTATGTGCGTTTCGTTCCGGAAACCTATGCACCAATAATGAAGCGAGGTCATTTCGCCACCCTCTCCATTACGAAATTTCTTATCATAGTCATAGGGAAAGATTTGCCTGTGACAACTCCCTTAACCCAATATTCACGATGAAACGCCAATTCATTTAAAGGAATATGTTCGCCAATCGTAATCGTACCATAGATTTTTTTTCGCTTAGCAATCAGTAATAGTATTGTATTCGCAGCTCACTTTCGAAATTTGAGCCATCAAATCCTAGTGCGTCTAGAATTATCCGTGTTTGAAAGTTATAATGACGACTCGTCTTTTCTTGAGACTATGCTTATATAGAAAAGACATTTATAGAAATAGAAAGTTAAATTCCTTATTTGAGATATTTTTGTTGGGAATATTATTTTCGTACATTTCTAGTACTTCTGAAGACTGCTTATTAACATATATTCAAGACTCAAATCACCTGTTTCTTTAAGCCAATAACCACACTACTCTATAAATGATAAAAGAAACATCTCTTCAAGACCAGAAATGTGTTTCTAATCGTACAGTAATCTCACTTCTATACAAAGTTATTGATATAAGATTGGAAATGATCTTGATAGCATTTTTTTGTCCGGTATCTAAATGGACATTGACAATACCATTCGATTTTTCGTATTCTTTGTTATCTTTTTCAATTTCCGTTTTCCTTTGCTTAATATTATTTAGGGAATAGATTTCTTCTTCTATATCCGCTCATGTTTATTGTGTTATGTTTCAGGTCTCGGGAGAAACTTAAGTCTAATTTGAAAAATATCTTTGAAATTATGTTTCCATATCTTTCAATATTTTTTTAGAAACATTCACTAATTAGCACAGACTCCTATGAAAATATTCCACTTTGTAAGCAAAGCAAGAAAGAAAAACAACTTTTTACCAAAACAGCTTTCTACAAGGTAATAAATTTCAATTAATGGATTTTCTAATGAGACTCTATTAGCCTTGCAGTGCAAGTAATAAACGACTTCTATGCACTTTTTAATTGTAAAAGTCACAGTTTGGAAGCCTTAAAATGACAAATTCTTAATTTCACCATCATTAGCAGAATAACGCTCTGTGAAATATTGCCCAACGGTTATAAGATGTACGGTTCTGCAGTGTTGAATTAAAATGGCAAGGTATCATTAAAAGTCTGAGTAATCATATGCCAGTCGACTCAGCATTAAATGGGTATAGTATACGGGTAAGCAGTAAATGGGTATAGCATACGGGTAAGCAGTAAATAGGTATAGTATACGGGTAAGCAGTAAATTGGTAAGCAGTAAATGGGTACAGCATACGGGTAAGCAGTAAATGGGTATAGCATACGGGTAAGCAGTAAATGGGTATAGTATAAGGGTAAGCAGTAAATGAGTATAGTATACGGGTAAGTAGTAGAGGAGTATAGTATAAGGGTAAGCAGTAAATGAGTATAGTATACGGGTAAGTAGTAGAGGAGTATAGTATATGGGTAAGCAGTAAATTGGTATAGTGTATGGCTAAGCAGTAAATGGGTATAGTATACGGGTAAGCAGTAAAGAAGTATAGTATATGGGTAAGCAGTAAATGGGTATAGTATACGGGTAAGCAGTAAAGGAGTATAGTATATGGGTAAGCAGTAAATGGGTATAGTATACGGGTAAGCAGTAAAGGAGTATAGTATATGGGTAAGCAGAAAATGGGTATAGTATACGGGTAAGCAGTAAATGGGTATAGTACACGGGTAAGCAGTAAATAGGTATAGTATACGGGTAATCCGGTAAGTTTCAGACTCATGGTTCTGAGTAAGGACTTTCTGGTTCACAAGGGAACGCAAGTTGTTTCGTTAAATTAATATAAGCAATTACATGACAAATTGGTTACAAATAAAGATAACCATGGATTAAATGTTATATTTTCAGGGCTTATTAATAGCAGTAAAACCAGTAAATAAAAATAGTATATCTATCAATAAGTCACTACTTGTTGAAATTAAACGAGTGAGTATAGAATATGTTTTAAACAGATCTTCAAAGATATGTATATAGATAGCAATTTGTTTTCTTGTGACAGCCTTATATTGAACATTTATGACCAGGTAGTTGAGCGATTTTAAATGATTCACATTTTCTAAATATATATATTACAAGATGCCTTAAAGGGTAAATCAATCGCTAAGTGGCATTAGATGCAGCGGATGCTAATTATATAAAGTTGATGATGAACGAGAATATTAGCTCTTTGTATTGTATTTTAATTGCCTGAATATACAATTATTCTGAAATCAAAATTCGCACAGATATGGATACAGTGTCGTATAACAGAAGTATACTTACATACGAATATTGGTAGTATTTTGAAGTGCATTGGTGAAAAACAGAACCGATTTTTTTTTAAATGTACATTGTAGATAAAAGATTTACAGAATGATCATATTGTGAGGTTTGTTGGGGCATGTATTGACCCTCCACATTGTTGTATATTAACAGAATATTGTCCTAAAGGTAGCTTACAGGTAAACGTTTGTTCTAGATTTACATCCGTTGTTCTAAAATCCAAGGAATTACAGAATAGTAGACCTGATGGAGTCGGAAGTCGGAATGTCCCGACCTTGCTTCCGTGCCTTACTACTATTCAGAAAGTCGTTTCAGTAATAAAACATTCACATTACTCACGAGACTGGCAGCGTCATACAGTTTCTAATTCTTGTTAGATTTCCATCTGCCAAGGTTTCTTCAGTAGGTCTCGGTTTATAGTTCCATTTTCAATGAATAAAGACAATATAAGTAACATTACTATAAACTGTTAGTTGGATTTTCTCTCATGATTTCAGCTTACATACAAAGACGGTTTTCAAACAATACCGTCAGGACATATTGACGGGTTTGTTCGATTTATCGTTGTTTTCTTCCATGATATATATCTACAGATTTTAGCTTTGGATATGAGACTAATCGAACACACCTTACCTAGTAACTTTTTTCACCGACTAGAACTTATCCCTCAATTAAGATTAATAAACAATGGTTTAAGTTCAAATCCTATTGTATTAAACTGAACACGACTCATTCTTTATTAAGGACTTAAACAAAATAGTCTCTGTTTCTCAGTCAAGTTGCGTGATACTAACTTTTTTGAGGCATTATACAAAAAACAAAAAAAAAACAACAAACAAGAAATCCGTAAATTCTGTTCGATTTGCGAAGTCTGTGATTTCACAAATATTCAAAATGTCATTTTTTAATGCACATCGCGCATGCCTTGTCTTCTTGTCTGAGTAATCTCCTTTATTCAAATCATATCTCCAAAAGACAGTTTTTTCATCGGTGATGTTCTCATCAAATAAAAGAAATTTTCAGTCATAATCTTATTTATCAAGAGGTAATTACAAAAGTCGATTCCGAATCATGGAGTCAATGCATGGTTATGGCGACTCTATCTCACAAATCAAATGTGAGAATGGCATCAGCTGTTAAGAAATGTAAGTGCATCCCGTCTTCAGCTATAGTATAGAATTACAGCGTAAAATCGGTTAATCGAATAGCAACGCTGTCAATATAGCAACATATTTTTCTATTTCCTTATAGGATGTACTGGAAAATGAAAAGATAAGTTTAGATTGGATGTTTAGATATTCCATAATGCAAGATATAGTAAGGGTAAGTGTGATATCGATATGTAACGGTACTCTATCGTGTAGGATATAGTAAGGGTAAGTGTGATATCGTTATGCTATGACATTCTATTATGCAGAATAAAGTAATGGAAAGTGTGATATCGTGATGGTACGATATGCTATCATGCAGGATATAGTAAGGGTAAGTGTGATATCGATATGTTACGATATTTTATCATGCAGGATATAGTAAGGGTAAGTGTGTTATCGTGATGTTTTTGATATAGTAAAGAAAAATGTGATATCGTGATGTTTCGATAGTCTATCATGCAGGATATAGTATGTGTAAGTGATATATCGCGATTCAAGATATCTTATCAAGCAAAATCTATAACTGTTACATTATGATAATGGAATGTCCCTTTCCAAGACATTATAGAATCCATTGAGAACAAAAAATTCCTTGTTTCATAATAATTAACCTAATAATGGTTCTCCAATAAGGTGTGGTCGCTTTTTCTTTTAATTTCAGGGAATGATTTATCTGCATGCCAGTGAAATACGTTGCCATGGGAACCTTAAAAGCACAAATTGCGTTGTTGATAGTCGTTTTGTGGTTAAAATAACAGATTTTGGCTTACGGCACTTCCGAGAAGATAACATGGCATCAATCGACGAATTAGATAATACTAATTCATCTAGTCGATGTATGTATTACATTATTTAGGCTTCTCGGACGCACTTATTTCACCAAAGCTGAGGAACATATTTTTGCTTATGTTAAAGGTGCACTCACACCATAGCGATTACTTGTTGCGTATGGTTGTAAATAATGAAAGTGGTTATGACTTCTGAACACAACTCAGTAGCATGAGAGTTGCGTTCGAAACCCGAGATCGCTATTCTTATTCACAACCATACCCAACTGGTGATTGCTATGATTTGAGGGTCCCTATGGCGTATATAACTATGGATTAGACTTTTTTGATTGTGTTACGACATAAAAAGTATGTATTTATACACAATATGTCGTAAGTCCTCGAGGTATCGGATATTCAGACAGGAAAGAATCAGCAGGGAGTAAGGGGGAAGTAATGACATTGATTGTTTATTCTCTGAAAATACCATTTTCATTAGAACAAAATAACAGTAATAATTTGATGAAGACGTTAATGAATGTTGGCAGTCAAATTGGTGAGGTTACAAAATAATGAAGGGCGATTCCGGAAAATGACATTAAACTGTGGTATGATGAAATTGGGTTATTTCACTGAACTCTTAATAAGATGATAGATTTAATCTTTTCTTCCAATTAACGTTACTAGGTCAATAGCGCTAATTAAACTCTATTATGGCAAAAAAAAGGACGGAGTGAGCTATGGTACGAGATGTGTGAACTCCTACACTACCCTTCCCTAAAGCCGCGCATACACGAGGTGCGGTGTCTGATGCGTGTACGGTGCGGAATAATCGATACAAATGGAAATAGAAGAAGTGAACTCTTGCCCCCCAATTGTACCCCGCTTATTTTTATCAAATTATAAACTATGGTTTTTTATACGTTTGCCCAAAAAGCAACTGTCTCCCATTTTGTCAGTCTATCACCTAAGGAACCTAACGTTAGCTATATCCAGCCTCTTTTCTGGAAGTAGCAAGTAGTGTTCTTGGAACTGCTTGGTGGTAAGATGTAGTAAATTTTCATTATAGGTAAACTATGGACTGCACCAGAGATTCTGAGAACATGTATTAAGAATTTCAATGGAACCCAGAAAGGCGATGTTTATAGTTTTGCTATTATTTGTCAAGAAATTGTGTATAGAAAAGGCGTTTTTCATATACAGATGTTAAAATTTAATCCTCATGGTACGTACCATCGAATTGAAACAAAACAAAAGATTTTTACTCTTGGAAAAAGTTACAAATTACACGGAAGTGCCAGTTTTTTGTATTGTCCATCTTCATCGTGATAAGCTATTACGATCTTTATCTTATACGTTGACTGCAATAGCCATATTTTGTTGTGCCACAACCATTTGATTGGATGGTACGCTAGCGAATAGAGCCAATCAGAAAAATGAACACAAAGTTTTAAACAATGAGCAAACAAATAAAATGTTTGAAGTCTTTATATGAAGGGCTCCGATTGGCTATATTCGCTAGCGTACAATCCACTCCACAATCGCTGCATTCACCCCACGATACAAGTAGGCTGGCTATTGGAGTCAAGGTATTAGAAACAGTTCGTAATAGCTTGACATAGTGAAGATGTATAAAGTCTAAATTTGGATTTTTACGATGGTAACACAGTGCAACAGACAACAATATTCATTATGTGATTAATTTGTTTGGCCGTGGGTGGGTCTATTGTATTATCTGACATTAAAAATAGATTAAAAAAATATAGCCGTCTAAAAACGTATCGCCCATTCGTAATATCCATACTGTTTTATCTGTGGCACGGATGGTAAAGTAATTATCTTGACGACTAATTCATTTTATTTACTAATGAAAAATTCCCCCAGATGTACATCTTTTAACATTTTTAAATTTCAGATATCTTAATAAAAGTACAGAATGGTTTGAAACCTTATTTTCGACCGACATTAGAAGATTATGACTGTCCATGTGATGAGTTAGCGGGTATTATTAGGCGATGCTGGTCAGAAGATCCTACTGAAAGACCAGATTTTCAAAGTTTGAAACATATCATTAGGAAAATGAATAGGTAGTCTTAGGGACGTAGATCCATTGATAAAATGAGGACCATCTGTTTAGAGAAGCAGTCCTTTTCTCTCTAAAGGCGCGCCGGTGTTTCAAGGAAAATTTTGAAAATTAGATCTCCGGAAACGACATTTTCGCGCATTTCTACAATTATTACAATGATATGTAGTCATTGACAATTTGGCACTAATTCTGACTTCTAAATACCAGCTAATCTATAGTCCAAGATATGCTGATGGTTGACAGATTCTGTTTTTTGCTATTACGGCTACTAAGGTTGAAAACTTATGGCATATATAGTATAGGTTAATATAAGTCGATCTGATTTAAAGGAAGCGCTCAGCTGGGACATAAAGAACGAATTGATGTATTTTTTAAATAATCAGATTCTATAGGCGAAATAGATTAGATAAAAAAAATCAATGCTATGACATACAAAACATGAACGAAACATTCAATTCGTGACTTAGGGGAGATAGACACGAGGCTTTAATACGAAACTTAGCGCCTGACCTTGTAACCAAAATCAGAACACGAACGTATAAAGTTCACTTGTGAATCAAACCGAATTATTTAGATGTTTTCATTTAATAATGAAATATAATTGTCTTTCGTTGTAACAGAGCTGATTGTGCTCAATTTAAGCTTTCCGTAAGTGTTATTTTTTTGCAAATAGAGAAAATATTTCAAGGCTTTTAAATCCAGTTTTATCTTATATGAAGAATTTTTCATGATAAGAATCCAATATCACGTTATCTTATCCCCTTGATATACAAATTGACACTAAGGTATTGTTGTACATTAAAGGAAGAGAATAGGAAAATACAACTGCCTGTGTTATTTTCCATTCCAGGGAAGGTGATAAAGGCAATATTTTAGATAATTTACTATCCCGAATGGAACAATACGCAAATAATTTAGAAGCATTAGTCGCTGAAAGAACAGCTGATTATTTAGAGGAAAAGAAAAAGACAGAAAACCTTCTTTATTTGATGTTACCAAAGTAAGAAAGTGGACTTTGTTCTTATCAGTCCATATTCTGAAGTTGCCTCCCTTTCAATACTACACGAGACAAAAAGTTTCTATTAATATTGGACGTACTTATATGTATATAGTTTATTGGTCATTTTTAGATTTATCAGTCATATTAGTACTTCGTTCAAATTGCGACCAATTTTGCGGTGAAAAGGTTACTTGGACCCCCAGATGACAAGCGAACAGCATCTTGTCCAAATAAATGCCTTGGTGATTTGGTAAAGGCGCATACAGGATGTTATAACTTTGAATTCTTGATTTTCAGATCTGTTGCTGGTCAACTAATACGAGGTGAAACTGTTGCTGCAGAAACATTTGAACAAGTTACCATATATTTTAGTGATATTTGTGGTTTTACTGCTCTTTCAGCAGAAAGTACACCAATGCAGGTATACATTTAGCATCACCACAGCACATTTTCGAATATAGACGATCCATTGTCACAAAAATAACATCATTATATATTATAAGCTTATAAGCTTGGCAAAATGTGTAAAAAAAAAAGATGCTTTTCGGAAGTGGCGCCATTAGAACGTTAGAACAAGTTTTGCCAGAAGTGCATGGCTAAATGAACACAACTTTAATTTCTTATATGTTGTATGACAATCGTCTTATATTTTGTAGGTTGTAAATTTGTTAAATGATTTATATACAGCATTTGATTCTATAATTGAACATTTCGATGTTTATAAAGTAAGTACCAGTTTACCAGAAAACAAAAAAGGATACTTTTTTAAAGAAAATTTCCAAATTCACATTCCATGCTTAAGTAGTAGTACGTCAGTCTTGGCACCAGCACCAGAACCATCACTGATTACAACCATTCAGACCGCACCACGACATAACAGCTGACTATGATGTTCTTTTCGTCAATTAGGTAGAAACAATTGGTGATGCATATATGGTAGTATCTGGACTTCCGGTTAGAAATGGTAACCTTCACGCCAGAGAAATAGCTAGGATGTCTTTAGCTTTACTGAAGGCAGTTTTGTCGTTCCGTATTAAACACAGACCAAACGAGCAGCTGAAATTACGAATCGGAATACACACAGGTAATTTCATTCGTGAAATTCTGGACTTTGCATATTCCAACGATTCACTTCCGGTTTCTGACAGCAGATAAAGCAACTGAATTGGCGTATGCTTAACCTATCCTGTAAACACACGGTCTGGATATAAAGCCCACCAGGACAATGATATAAAATTAGATGGTAGATGTCCGAAAGTTGTGCTCTGCCCAAAGGTGTTTCATTCGGTGATATAATCTGTGGAAGGTGTGATTGGATACATCGGATATATAGAAATGACCCTTTACAGTCCTCCGACACAATAGCGGCTAGCAATCGGCGCAAATAGTTTTAAAACTATCATGTGAAGGCATTGCCTTATCGTGTTCCAATCTGTTGTTCTATTTTATAGGTCCTGTTGTCACAGGGGTAGTTGGTTTAAAGATGCCTCGCTATTGTTTATTTGGTGATACAGTTAATACAGCGTCCAGAATGGAATCGAATGGACTTCGTACGTAATTAATCCTCTACTATGATGCATTTTTTCTAATTTTATGAAGTACACTATTGTATGGTAGTCAATATACCATTATAAATCGGAAAAAACCCATTGGGCTGCAGAATTCTCAATGTTTGAAAGGGGAGGTGGGGAGTAATTTATCCGTATTAGTCTAGTATTGATAAACACAATGCTTCACGAATTTCCGTTGCGGCCTTGCTCCTACATTATGATGTATACACGAGATTCAAAAATCTCACGAGAATAATGAAATATAATATATCTTATCGAGTTACTTGTTTCCTTCCAGCGTTGAAGATCCACGTGAGCAGCATTACAAAATCTATTTTAGATACATTCGGATGTTTTCATTTAGAATTGAGAGGTGAAGTTGACATGAAGGTACGGTTATATAATAACACTTTACTCCGAATCCATTAATCAAAAGAGCAAAAGTATCAATGGGTGTTGTGTGATAGTTCTTTTTTATATAAAAAAGAAACCCACTCTGGCGGATGTTTGTATTATTTCGTATACGTTTCGGATATTGAGAATGTAGTTTTATATCCAACCGCTGGACCTTCCGGATCTCCTAAATAGAGTATTTAAAATATTTCGGACACATATCACTTTTTCATCGAGTTGTGTCTTGTCTTCAGTAGAAGATTAATCAATAATTCTATTTTGTTTCAGGGTAAAGGATCACAAATAACATATTGGCTAATAGGTGAATCTGATGATACTTGTGTGTAGTATTAAATTATTATTGTTTATTTATATTTTATAATAAATTTATTCTAGTATTTTACTAGTATTTGTTTGGATTCCGATAAACCTTTAAATTCGTAATGGCCCCAGAGGAGAATTCCCTAGTGATCTGATCATTGGTTTCAGATAGGAATTCCCTAGTGATCTGATCATTGGTATTAGATAGAATTCCGTAGTGAAATCCCTCGTGATCTGACAATTGGTTTCAGATGAGAATTCCCTAATGATCTTCTAACTGGTTTCAGATAAGAATTCCACAGTGATCTTATAATTTGTTTGAGATAGGAATTCCCCAGTGATCTTATAATTTGTTTGAGATAGGAATTCCCCAGTGATCTTATAATTGGTTTCAGATAAGAATTCCCCAGTGATCTTATAATTGGTTTCAGATAGGAATTCCACAGTGATCTTATAATTGGTTTCAGATAAGAATTCCCCAGTGATCTTATAATTGGTTTCAGATAAGAATTCCCCAGTGATCTTATAATTGGTTTCAGATAAAAATTCCCCAGTGATCTTATAATTGGTTTCAGATAAAAATTCCCTAGTGATCTGATAATTGGTTTCAGATAAGAATTCCCCAGTGATCTTATAATTGGTTTCAGATAAGAATTCCCCAGTGATCTGATAATTGGTTTCAGATAAGAAATCCCTAATAATCTGACAATAGGTTTCAAATGAGAATTCCCTAGTGATCTGACAATTGGTTTCAGACCAGAAGTAGCTTGTGATCTGAGGATTGGTTTCAGTATAGAATTTCAGTATAGAAATCCTTGTTGTCATGACCCTTGCTTTCAAAAACTCTTTCGTGACCTGATCAGTGGTTTCAGACCAGATATCTCTAGTGATCTGACAACCGGTTTCAGAGACGATGATCTAACCATTAGTTTCAAACCAGAACTCTTTAGTGATCTGACCATTGATTTTAGACTAAAACTATTTGATGATATGACCATTTGATTTTATACTAGAACTCTTTAGTGATGTGACCATTGCATTCAATATAGAACTCTTTGGTGATCTGACCATTATTTTCAGATCAGAATTATTTAGTATTCTGACCACTGGATTAAGATCATGCCTACGTATCGATATTTCTGTTTGTTTCAGACTCGAACGCCCCAGTAATCTGACCTCGGTCAGAGGTGTTCGTCAACATGACCTGTCAATAACACACGCTGTTTCGTCTTAATCTTGTTACAAGGGAGATAACTACAATCCTCTTCAAGCAGTATGGAGCTTAAATACTCTCAAGCATTCTCGTCTGGCAAGAGTGTGTGTGACAATTATTGCTCTCTTATTTGAAGTTGTATCACAGTTCTCATGTACTACATTTTGGTAAAATTATAAAATCACAATCCTCGAAGAGCTCTGAATATTTCTCTTTTTTTTTACAGTTTTTACAGGGCGACATATAACCCATATATATCGTCCTACAAAATATAACCTGAAAATGATCCACCAGGGGCCGTCAATCTAATCATTTTTCCAGAGATTTTTATATAACGCGATCTTCAATGGGTCCGAATGAAAAGCACTAAAGTTTAAGTTGTAACATTGGTGACGACGATATATATTGGTTCGTTGGATGAAGGAATACACGATGAAGACTCGTAATTCACTTACCCTTGAGATTGAATATGGTATGTCAAGGCCAAGGTATACGAGATATTTGCAATATCTGCTGTAGAGAACAGAACCAAATCAATTTATCTGCAAGAGGGTTGTTATTAAGTCAAGAATGACTGACAGGAAACAGCAGTATCCGTCTAATATTTTATTGTAAATGTACTTTTATTATACCATTCACATTGTCAATTAATCATGACTGATAGTAATACTATGACGGTCTGACAAACACCCAGTAACAATCTCACAGACATAGCCGAACCACCGCCGTGTTCATCAAGGAAACATTACGAAACGTTTTAAAAAGATTGTAAAGAGATTTCCTAAACTTTTTATGTGTATCTGGGAACACTGATAGCATCGATTTGCGCAATTCTAGTTTTCAGTCAGGCGTCTGTGGTTTTTGCTATTCTACTTCAAGTCAGCCTTTTATGGTGTCACTATCGTCAATAAGAGCCTTTAAAAGCCCAAATATATTATGTAGGGTTTTGGAGCTTTTGGGATATTGACGTCATAATTCGGATAGTTTTAGTGTAATTGCAAGAAATACATACATCTGGCTCAAAAATGGGAACTGTGCAGACCTATGTCCCCAATACATTAATAAAATTATTCCCTTTCATGGAGTGCCTACGGAAGGAGTTTCTCGTGTTGTAAGAAGACATCGCAGGATATCTGACCGCATGGCGACAACAGAACGCAGATCTGACCTGAGCAGAACATCGATAATATAATAAATAAGAAACACATGGAATACATGTACATTTTTGACAATTCTTTGTTGATTATGTCTATCGTTGAATTTGACAAATGTGCCTGATTGAAAAATCTATATTTTAAGACATGCTCTAGATCTTTCTGATCAAAGAACCACTTGTTGCCTCCAGATTTTTTTGTCAATTAAATTTATTAGAGACTAGAGATTCGGCGATTCTGATTCCTCAATATTACAATCAATGGCTTTAACCTTGATGGAAAATTAATGATAGTAGTAGTGATAGAATCGAATGGTAAATTATTTTAATTCACATAATCAAGGTCTTTATGAGTTTAGCCATTACATCGTGGATGTTAGTTTTGGTTAATCCTTTTCAAACATTCCATGAAAATTCAAATGTGTCGACCCCCGGTTCCCATCCTGGGGTGTCTTCATTCCCTGGGGGCGTGGGACTAGGGTGTCGGGGGTATGGCCATATGGTGTAGGAGAAGAATTATTTGGAATTGAGAGAGCATCTCACATCATCACAAGCTGGAAATGTGGATGAAACAAATTTTTGGGGGTTGTGAAAGGTCCAGGTGATTGCTCCAGGGGCGTGAATGCTGAAAAGGGTTGGGAACCACTGGTGAAGGCCCTATTATTGCCTATAGCTATGAAATATGGTAGCATATACGTGGAATAGTAGGCGGTATCGGGGTTCGATTTTTCATGAATTATATACTTTGTGTTAAGATAAGCTCGTCAGCAATCAAGACTATATAACAGCCTACCAAGACTTTGGGTACGAATAAGGAGCAGGCTAACTCAATGGGAAAGGAGGGGGGGGGGGGTTGCAATTGTCGACGCTGATTTCAAAATGCTGCAACTCTGTTCTCGTGGAAAGTCTGAGAGGGTTCTTGCAAGAACGTCGCCACTGAATTGCACAGAACATGATATAGCAAAATAAAAGTATAGAACTCGACTGGAATTAAAGTACATGTATTCACAATGTAATATATATAACAATATAAAACGAACACAATCTCTCCAAAGATAGGACAATTTATCGGAACTATTCCATGTTTTGATACAATCGTAACATAGTAGACTGTTCAGATAATACAACCAAAAAATCACGTCCAAAATAACAGTGAGCGACGGGTAGTCTATTATACAATGTCAGATGAGATTCGTATAAAGATACTACCTACAATCTATTAACTATCAGTTGTATAGGCTGATATCAATAATGAACACTTGGGGGTAGAGATATAATATACTTAGTTATGTCCCTCTTAATTACATACACATAATTAATACATCAATGACGTCATAGCAGACATAGAGTTATTTCAGGTATTACCATGTTTGCCTTGGTGTAATGAAACATTGTGTTAATGGGATACATACATTGACGTAAAAGAATAGCTCGACACATTATCTCGCCCAGGATTGAAAACTAGAATAGATAGGTGTCAAAAACATAATCGAATAAACTTTTTCTCAACTTCCTTACCATAGGATATGACTTTCTACTTTATATCCTTTAAAACCTTACAAATGATCTGTTGCTTTGATGTCTACAGCATGCTTTAAAATATTCTCTAAAAAAAGGGCAACGACTGACTGACTGAATGACTGAACAAGAACCTGTATGTCTATGGCCGTTGTACTGACCCCAACATTGCTGAAGACAAAATCCTTCCATCTTCACAGCGTTAAGCTATTACAAACTTCGTCTTATACCTTGAATGCAATAGCCACCATTCTTTGTATCACGGTATGCGGCGATTTGTTCGCCATCAATCATAGCCCTGAACAGACAGACTGTAAACGTTATGGCTTATTGTTTACAGACTTTCTGTCGAAGATCCTGATTGGCTGTATTCGATGGCGTGATTCGTAATCGTATTCGTGATACAATAATTGTGGCCATTGCAGTAACGGTATAAGTACGAAGTTATCGAGATGGCCCACCTCATAATCAGAGCTGAAGTAAGAATTATTTCAAGATAAACCCAAGTAACGACTCTTTTCATCAAATCGTCCATTATGCATGTCTGTCTATGGAAAATCGAGCTGTGTTTGCTATTCCACAAAATCAGGAAATGTAGGCCACCATATTGAACATGTTCACTTCCAGAAGTCTTAATGAGGACGTCAATTAGGGAAATTATGTTAATTTAAAGCTCATTATATAATATAAAACACATGATAACAACTTCAGTATTATGTTAATCATTTTATAATGATGATTTTATTCATTATGAAAACTTTATGTCTGAATACATGTCGCTATCAAGGAATTGAAGAATGACGCGGAGAAATCATAGTGTTAATATATTGAACAATACTTATATAGGGATTTGACATTCTGGTTACAGAAAACTGACATTGTTCTTAGCATAGTTCTCTGTAGCTTTGAGCATCCATTTAGGATTATCAAAACGGTTCTTAGTTTAGCTGGAAAGAAGTTTTTTTCTAAAAAGAAAATACGGAGTGAAAGTAAATAAGCCATTGTCTCGTCAATAATATTTTCAGTATAATTGTATTGCGTTCATAAAACTTTGAACATCTACTGTAGATGAACAGTTTTATTAAGAATTACATTATAATATTTTTCACATTCTAGAGCTATTTGGTCAAAAAATTAAAATAAAATCAGTGCAATATTGTTACTTATTGATACCAATGGTTGCTGAACGTTATCGTTCCACCATTTACTAGCTAGGATATTTCGTATGAAGGTTGGTTGGTAGATGACAACTTAACGTTTGCTTCCAGTGGATGCTGATATCTAGGTAGTTGTTGGTAGTCGTAGTGGTTGGTAGTTAGATCAGTTCATATTAGGTGATTCTGAGTTGTTGGGTTGGTAGTTGATAATTCGTGAGATCTGGTCGGATCGAATGACATTGCGGTGAAACTCTGCCCTGGATGGTGTGGCGTGATTTACACGAACAATGTGATGTTGGTAATTCTTGTTGATTGTTAGTCGAATGGTAGTCGTTGGTTTGGTTAGATTATTATCTGATAACTGTGGGTTTCGTATGAATAAGGAACAATATAGTAGTAGTGGCTTCTCTGATTCTGACAGATTATTAATCATGCAATTAACAAAGCAAATAAGTAAAACAAATTGAAGCACGTCAATGATTCAGTTTAAAGCTAACAGTCAATAAATCTTTGTATATAGAATTACAAGTTACCCAAATAATATTTTGATGATATAATAAATGACAATATGTTTTACAACTGAGAGGTCTAGACTATGAACTTGTTTGATGGTAAACAATCCAGTTTGACATCGGATTCTAGTTAGACTTGTTTACCACTTGATGACACTGGTAATCATAACGTTCTCAGTGACACAAGATCTTATAGTGGATCCTTGCGAATGATGAATAAACATCTTGCATGCCGGAACATGAGGAAAATAACAATGGCAACAGCTAAAATACTAGAAATGACCACGATGACCACAGATTGTTCGCCGTTTCAAAAATGGATTTTGTGCGTAAGAAAACCCATTCTCTTGCCCTAAGATTCTGCGACCGCTTACACAGAAATAATGAATATTGGAATTCATTACCTGAGCATTGTGGCGCCGTCAATGGTGGCACATGGCGGGCGGGGGCATTTGCCGCATTCAGTCAGTCTGTCCCTTATTTGTACCCCAGTCTCGAGGGCTAGTGCCGTGACAGCCTCAGAATTGTAACCCCACCAAGACTAGAAACCACATATATTACTTTAATATAATAAGATTTTCAATTTCTTTTTGCCCGAAAATAGGCCAACAATAATCGTAAAAATGTACAGAATTAAGCTTGGCATTACATATTTAAATAGCCCTATTATTCAATAGTAACCTTTCAAACAGAATTTGGAATAATAATTATCACTGATAATCATACATTAATTAAGATAGTTAATTAGAACTAGAAATATTTCTTTGATTGTCATTAAACACATTGCTTAATTATAATATAACATATACATAATAAGAATAATATTTATACTAATCAAAACCACATTCCAAAACAAAACAACCCCCTTCTTACCTAGTTTAGCCTATGATATATATGTGTTATAGATTTGGACGGAATTTCTGGCTGTAGGTTGAAATTCAATATCTCCGTGGAGGCGTCATAAGAGCAACCTTCCCATGGAGCAAATTTGTTAGAATTGAGTGAGAGTACACTTTGGGATGCAAACCATTTTTCTCTCTCCCACCTATTGTACCCCTTTTTGGCACCGCCATTGGTCACAGGTCATGTCGGATCCCAAGACTGACTTATTTAAATGGTAATGGGACCCCGCACTTTCAGATTAGGGCCCAAAATGATTCGCTCTTACTTTGACGTTATTTCCTTTGAAGGTACAAGACAGCAGGCGAATTATATCATACTATATAGTCTGTACTGCAGTAATTGCACCTTCTTCTCTGAATGATGAAATAATTTGGCAGTTATAATACATTCCTAATTACTCAAATCCTTTACCTTCATATAATACACTGATTATCTTATTCATAATTAGGTTATCTAGAAATATTGTTCTCTTACAATTACTGAACTACAAATAACCTTCTTCCTTTATACAATACTTGCGTTCTGAAAATACAATTACAGACTTGAATAAGAATAAGGCCCTTATGAGCCTTTATTGGTAATAAGGAATCAAATTAAAAAATAAAATCTGCTTTTGAAAAGAATCTTCACTTGCTCAACGTAAGATTCCTAATTGAAAAATCTTGAGAATCTCAAGGAGCTTTGGCCCGACTGCGTTTTGAATGAGTGCCTAATGGTAGTTTTTTGATCAATTCAGAAGTGCAAACTATTCATTCATAAATACCATTCATTTACAGCAACATATTTTTTTGACGTGGAAATTTGCTAATGCAGTTTCTTGAAACTATTCTTCGGAAGTACAGTCAAACTCATTTTGGTGTTGATACATGTAGTTACAGGTTCTCACGTTCCATTTGACGTCAAATGATCACCTCAATTTTTAATGCTCATACATGCACAGTGTCGGCTGTTTTTTTTTAAAGGACAGGTTCGCTATCCGTTTGACCGATCGTGCTTTAGTCTCAGAAACGGGAATCTTTTTAGCTTAGCTAATCAGTAATGGTGTTAGCAGCTCACCCTCAACATTTGAGCCTTCAAATCCGTGTGTGGCCAGAATTATTCGCGTTAGAAAGTTAAAAAGACGACTCGTTTTTTGTTGAGATTCTGTCTTTTACAGAAGAGACATATATAGAAATAGAAGGAGAAGTTCTCGGTTTGTGGTATTTTTGAAGGAAGTGTGAGATTTTCGTACATTTCTAGTACTTCTGAAGACTAATTACATATATTCAACACCCAAATCAAACCATAGAAAATGGCGTATCTGTCCCTTTAATTATTACGTGTAATTTCCTAGAATTTGCTCCAAACCCTGTGTCAGAATGCACGAAATCAAGATTAATTTTTCTATTTTGTTTGAGCTTGAGAAAACCAGTCTTCATAGGATGTTCGCCCCCATTGCGATCCTGCATTGGAATCCCGACCCCGACAATAAAGTTGTATCCCATTAAGTTTAGTCTGCCCCTTATTTGAACCCCCTCATTAATTGGAGCAGGGACAGGGGGCAGGCGCCGCCACTGGCTATGCGTTTTGGGGTTTGAGATAAAGGTTGCAGGTAATTTACCCTGGATCTATTAAATTAAAGACGTTTTCTCCACTGAATCGTTGACAATAATTAAAATCGTCCTTCATTTAAAGGTCAAACAATAATAATTGTCGGGTGTGGCAAAAATCCATTCTTTTGAGATAGTTCATTTCGGTGAAGTCATTTGGTATAAAGAGAATAATAATCTATATTCTGCAGAAAATTTCAAAAAGCAATCATCACCAAAAGTAGGAGCACATCGTAAGCTACAGATATGCATACAAAGAGCTGACGACCGCTCCCTCCCGTCCAGTGCGTGACGTTACCGATTTTGCTCAAAATGTTGCACAACTTTAATGCGCCTACGTCAATTGAAAGGTGTGATTAATCGAGTTCAGACAATGTCAGAAAGAATAAATGATTAAATTTAACAAATCGTGTTTTTTACCTTCAACTCCTTTAGTTTAAAGGGACAGATTCGCCATCCGACGAGCAATCGTCGCTTAGTCTCAGAAACGGGCCTTTGTAACCAAACTAATTTGAGTCTTCAAATCTATGTGTGTCCAGAAATATCCGCGTGTGATAGTCATATTGACGACTTGTCTTTTCTTGAGATTTCATATTTTTGAAGGAATTATGCGATTTTTTAATATTTCTAGTAGACTATTTACATATATATATATATAGACCCAAATCAACCTCCAAAAATGGCGAATCTGTTCCTTTAAGTTGATTGCTAAAATATTAAGACGGTCAGGATACAGAATCACTTCCAACATGTTGCGTCACTTTGAGATTGATAGCATATCTGTAAGAATTAATTACTTTGGCAAACCTCTTGTACTTACATATTGACTTCATTATAATAACGAGTTATAGAGAGTGATAGAGACTAAATAACTATTAACTATATTAATAATAATCTATACTTATTACTTCTGCTGACAGACCACTCCTTCACGGTGCCAGCACTATATCACGTGATTGATATATCGTATCACGTGATCTATGTCAAATCAATATTATATCTTGGTAGATTGGCAAGACTGGAAACTGTCATTAACAGTTAGTTGGACGGATAGTACAGTTGTGTTGTCGCTGAGAACTAATTATTAACACAGGTATGGTACCTTTCTTTAACTTAGTATGAATTTATTAATTCATTAGCATTTACCAAAATTTCATTACAATCTATTTTCTTAAAAACTTTTGATGTAGGGTAATTTATCAATTTTTGTATCTTTTGAATATCAAAAACTATCATTTGGTGGAAATAATTTTGCGAATGTTGAAACAAATTACTTGGAACTTATCAAACAAAAGATGACTCTTCAGAAAGTCATCAAGGTTGTTTTAGAATAGTTTATTTGACTATTTTGTGCTGAAATTAATTACTTAACACTGGAAGATATTTACCCGAAGAAAGTTGCAAATTTTTCGAAATTCTTTAGTAAAATAGAAACGATTGTAAAAATACCAATTCGGACCCTGTATAATACTTCCGATCTTCAAAACATGATAGATCCGCCAATTCAGAAGAATAATTGGCTAGCGACTTTCTTCACAGTACACATCATAGAAGATCTGAAATTAACAAAAGCTTTTGGAATTTTGGTGTGTTATAAATATACAAATTAACAATTAGCTATATGGACTTTTTGTGGTGACTTTTCAGCCAAAACGGTTTCACATTGACTCGTTTATTACTTGTTCTGCCACCTCATTGTTCTAACATCTGTGCTGCTGAGTTCTTCCGATTGATCCATAACGACGATTTGATTTCATGTCTGGGTACCTTTAATAATATGATCACGGCACAACATAGAGACAATAGGCACATTCTAGATCTGAAGAATTTGTAATATTACTTTGATAATGACTGTATTTTTAAAGATGACTATCCCTTTCATTACGTCATAACCAATTCAGATGTAGTTCGAAGCGTCATATTTTATCTACAAACCATTTTCTTTCTCCATCCCATGCTACTTCTCGTCTTATGTAAAGATACAACCAAAAATTACCAACATCAAATCTTTCTTCGAGCTGCTGTATTCAGAACTAAACAAAGCAAAAACAAAGGAAAAATCTCAGCAGAACTCAACAGAGCAAAATGAGTCCTGAAGCTGTTTTGGACCACTAAGGATGGAAAGGCATGTCGAGTTTGAGGAGCACTTCTACTCACTGTACAGAACGAGAAAAGAATCCGAGATACCATCTCTGATTTCTGAACCATTACACCACAAGCACATTTTGCTATAGCGGATAAGCTTGAATGAATGGCAGTTTTCTCCGTCAGAATGTCAAAATTAATTGACCTTTTCATCAAAAAGATAAACTTTACAAATTAACAAATTCGATTTCTTACGAAACAATCACCGCTTCACGAAATGATGAAAAACAAGGGAGGTAATAAAATGAAAAAAATTGGTCCAGATTTAAGGGAGGAAACCATTTTGATAAAATCACAGAGGCTCTGCAATGCACAAATTTCAAGCTACATTCTTTCATTATTGTCACAAAAAACGTAGGCATTCCGGTTTATTTATGTGGAAAATTTATTCAATGACGTTGCGGGTCTCTTTAAATCAGTTTTATTAGTTTTTATTTTTAATATAGTCCCTTCAGTTAGGGTTTAAAGACTGGCCTTTTTAACATTTGTCACAATAACCTTTTGGTCTAATCTTATGGCATCTACTTTAACCAATCATTCCGGCACTCACTCACAAAATGCCAGGCCTGTTCGGGGCAGAAATTTTATTAGTTAAAGCAAGGTTAGATTTTGTTTAAAAGGCCAGTCTTAAGACCGTAATTGAATTGGCCAAAAAAAAAAATAAAAGCTGATAAAAAACGGAACGAAAGTTTGGTCTAATTTTAATTAGACTGGATAAAAGTGAGCAAAGACCGACTAGTAGTCTTGAGGTCACAATAAGAGACTCATTAGAAAGTAAACTTGGTATAAAAGAAGTTTGAGTTGATCTGAACGAACATAATGAATATATTAGCTGTCTTGTTTAATCTAATTTTCTACTAAAAATAATTTGTTAACACCAGTCAATTATTGAAAAAAAAACTTTTCTTAATTTAGAAATAAGACACAAGACAATAGATATAGTGGCTCGCGTCTAAACTATAGTCTGTATTGGCGTTAAAGGTATACCACCTCTTAGGATGATCAAACATTGAAATTTGCAAACTTGGCCAAAATGAGTCGTTGTTCATCAGTGGACTTCCCTAATGTCATAACTATACAACAAAATCCCTCTATAAGCTAAGTGATAATTGATTAAACACGTAATTTTGAAACATTCTTAGAAGCGTGATCCAATAATTATGTGGCTTAATAGTTATATCGTCTTAATAAAGAGATTCTATTATTTCGTCATCGCACCTGGAAAGTCTAAATGATGAATATAATACACTAATTGATCGAGTTCGAATTTTATATCCCTTCAAAGAGGCAGTATTCCTTTAAGCTATGACCAGTATGTCAAGGTTTAAAAATCTTTTTTTCCTCCTACAACATGAATATTTTTGAATAAAATTGGAAAGGAGAAGAGGAAATGCCTGTTTACCAAAAACTTCAGTAGATGTTAATGATATATTTACGGCGTGGTCGTGCAATTAGACTTACTGATGCGGTTAACATCTTGCAATGCACCATGAGCACGTTCAACTTATCATCAATGATTAGTAAGCTTTTCCCTTTTCGAAAATTTAAAATTGAAAATTATATGGGATCAAAAGGGCAATTAACACATAACTCTCTGTGTTTACTTCCCTCCATCACCGACAAATAAAATTTTTTTTCGACCCAAAGATGTCTTAACATGGCGAACTTTGTCTCCCTAGTCGCCATTCAATAACATGTGTTATATCATTCTGACCACAGAAAATTTCGTAGTATATAGTCCACAGGCTAGTTGGACCAATAGTTCGGTACGTTGTTCTGTTTCTATATTATGTTCCTATGGCAACGGCATACGTCGTTTATCACATCTAAACTTCGACGATTATCACACCTTATCACATTGTTGTGATAAACGTCGTACACCGATGCTATATGTGTTAAACATTGTACACCGTTGCTTAGGTAACATGACCGACAATTCTCAACGGAAAGCTCAACTTGTTTCAATAATTTTGGGGTGTGTTTCTTTATTTCCGGTATTTTTTTTACAATGATTAGTCGGTTGATAATTATACTGTTCTAGAATAGTTTTAGAGCCTTTTAGTACGGGATCATTCTGACACTTATGAATTTTATTCTAAATTGTAATATTCGTTCACCGATAATGCATTTTGAATCCATATCTTACTGCGCCATTTGTTTTATTGACTATATTTGCAAATACTTGAAGTCCCGAATAACCAGCCTCTGATGTTGAAACTGCCAAAATCATTTGACCAAGTGACAATCTGGGAATAGTAGGCCTATCGGTAAATAATGACTGCCATTAAATACCGTGATATGTTTCAGCGCACCAGTGAAAATTTAGTAGAAGTTTTTTCTGAAAATTAAGATTCAGAAATTAGTTACCAATAAACCCTTCCCTGGCCTTTCTATATTAGTGTCTTTCTGGCGATTTGAAACACCATGTGCACGATAGCCTAAAATTTTTCATTAATTAGTATATTGTAAAGGATGAAGTTTTAAGCAGATAAATGACATCATGCTATCAATATGGATAGATTATGTTCACTTGAGACTTATATAACCGATTAAATTTACCCTTTTGGTAACAAATCTTATTTTAGTCTTTAAAATCTGTCTTAATTCCGTATAATTCATGCTCAAGGATATTTTATATATTTTAAATCGACAAGTAAAATGATCAGAAATATTTAAACTTTCGTTGCAGACGTAAACATGTCGGATGTATAGTGTATTGAAGTGGGTAATTTGATGATATAGAATATCAAAATAACCTCTATAGATATCGTAACTCGATCATCAGACTAGAATAATATTTTTGATGCTTTATGATCTTGAGAGTGAAGTTTTGACAATCGTGTTTTTCTTATTAGCTTTTAATGAATTAAGGTACCCTCAAACCATAGTGATTGCGTATGGTTGCGAATAATGAAAGTGGTCGTGAGAACCGAACGCAACTCACAATTCAGTTGCACGGGAGATGCGTTCGAAATTTATGGCAGCTATGCAATGCAAAAGTCCAATATATATATAAATATCATGGCACCACGTGCAATGTCTATGTGGGTTAAATCTGAATTTACTGAAATATTTCCATTGTGAACTTTGTGCAATAATCAGCGAAAAAAATACTAATGCACTGGTCGAAGTGGTAACAGTCGCAAACATATCGTGTCATTGTTACAATAGCATCTAATACTATTAGAGGTGAAAGTATGCCAGTATACAATTTTAAACAGATATACTATTTTGATATGATTCTGTACATCATTTAGCTTTATATGACCTCTTTTGTTATGATACAAGATTTTCAGTTTACACTGTAGCGTAAACTAATTTAATCAAATTTTACTCTTTTAAAGTTCAAAGACCTGTATTTCGCAATCTCTTCGATGAAATTAGCGTATTATTTCAACTTGATGATTTGATCCAATTTATGTATTATTTTGTTCCATAAAAGTAAAACACTACAGGTCTCATGTTCCAAAAATATTCGCTAAAACCCAATTTTAGGTTCTTTAACATTCAAAATTGAAGCTCAACATAGTTACGCATTGCTTGGTTGTACCGGTGGGGCAATATGCTATGCTACGATCCAAAGTAGTCTAATGCATCGAAGTTTTATTCGTTCAAAAGTGTATGGCCTGAACCGTTGATCCCGATTCTTTTATTGTAAAATGCCTTTGTTAAAACAAGTTAAAATATGTTCTTTCAGATATGGGTTCCTTAACAGATTTCCAAAAGAGAAAGGTGATGGCCGTGTTTACCACGCTATATGGTAAGGAATATTATATATAACTTGCTGAGCAATGAAAGATTGTTTGAAGCTATTACTCGCTGGAAAACATTCCTAATTTTCGGTTAAAACCAAGCCCGTAGCCAGGCTTGATTGTTCAAGGGGCGGGAGGAAGGCAGGGGGGGGGGGGGGAGTAATATATCAGAAGGGCATTGGGGTTAGTTGATGTAGTGAAATTAATCGGTTATCAGACGTTTTCTAAGGGGGCAATCCATTTTTCCGCGGACGCCTGTAGCTACGGACCCGGATAAAACTTTTTACAGAGATATTTTCACAATCCTGAATTTCCCCGATGAAAGGCGTTAATACCGCGACTGAAATTATTATTTTGGCATCTACATTCAGTTGGTAATACTTCGTGCATAAATTGGACCTTGTGTCTGCAGCCATCGAGTTGATTGCAGTTGCTAATAGTCGCTCTATTTTTCTTTAGTAGCTCTTCGCTTACGTCGACAGAGACGGAACCGGCGAGATGCTTCTGAGTCAGCCTCAGCCCTCAGCCCACTTGAAGATTTTAATCAAGCAAACTGTGGGTGTAATTATGACAGACAATGGAGCTTTATGTCAAAAGGCCATTCACCTGGAATTGTGCAATGATAATTTTGAGTGCTTATTGTATATTACTATAGAAAAATGCAACATTTTACTTTAAAAAAACAATGCCTCCTCATAAATACTTCAATTAAATCCCCACTATTTGAGACAGTTTTAAGAATGAAAATGACAAGAGACCGCCTACGAATTGTGTCGCAATAATTCTATGTGACCTAATTGTTGTCACATGTCAGGCAAATGTAATAAAGTTTAAATAGCCTGGGGATGATATTTTCAATTTAAATCAATTTCCAGTCATCTGTTAAATACTCTATTGATATAATCCACGATGGTGTCATTTCTGTATTTTAAAGATGATTCCAACGGTATTTCTCAATTTCAATACAGATTGTCCTTTGCTTCTGTGTACTGAATTCGTGTCCTTTAAAATAGTAGAGTCCTTCTATAATCTTTGTTTTATTTCGTCATTGTCGTTATATTGGGTTTTGTGACGTCACGAAAAGCATATCAAAGAGATAAAATTGCATATCAAAAATACAAATACGAAAGTTATATTTAATGCTTCTTTCAAAAAAAAAATAATGATAAAAACAAATCGACCTATTTCGCAACTTTTGTACTTGCCAGGCACCTTCGCCAGCATTAACCTACTTTTAAAACCGCATCAAGCTATAAAAATCTAAATCCCAAAGCCGTGACTGTCCTATATAATAGAATGGTCTCATGGCACACATATACATGTATATCTAGATACTAATATATTATATATCTTCCACTGTGCTGATAATGGAATTATAGAGATAAACCGTCTTTAACCTAGACTTATATAATCATTATCAGTATTGATAAACCTTGGAGACCAATACTAGTTAAAGAGACATCATTTTTCATTATAGATTTGAAAGTTGTCATTACTGAGAGCCTTATCACTTATCAACAGTTGACTTTAGATCACAGTGACTTTATTTGGACAGGAAACCTATTTTCCAATTTCTGATTTGGCCGCTTTTAGTTAGAGCGTTTATCAACAGGGAATAGTTCTCACGTTTACCTTCTTATTAGGGGTAAAATTAGCACTTCTTTGTGTCACCGAATTTAATAATTTTCGTCCTTCGTCTATTTCGATGTGTTGTTCATCAGGCTTTTGGACCTCCGAAAACGACTATTGTTCCACACATGGAATATACATATATATATAGATAAGCATGATAAAAATATCCTCAATTCATAAACTGAACCAAAATCTTTAGAATGTCCAGCAGATCATGCCAATAAAACATGGGCTATCAAAGACATTTCTTTCTTTTCCAAAATTTCCCATAAATACAGCTTTCAGACAAAGCAACTCGCTAGAATGGAACTAGACATAATTAACGCCTCGATATAATGAAATATGATTTATGGAAAGTTTGACAATCTTCTATCATAGTTATATAAGCAATAGATTTCAAATCCGAATAGGTTCTGGCACAATAATCATCTATATTTTGATATTTTATGACTATAATGCTCACTCTGAAGTCCGCGTCATGGTCAAATGCTTTTATAGTTAATGTGAATGCGTCGTTTTTTAGATATGACTTGACAAATGACATATTTTATTTACTCGTTGTGGGGGGTGCATAGAAATGAATTGAAATTACCATCAAAAATATTATGACAGAACTAATTTGCAGAAGAGTTCATAGGTCACGAGCAAAAAGATAAGCTCTCTCGACGCACAACGCGTCGATAGTTGTCTGTAGTCAAAATGAGACACCGACTCAGTTCGAATTATTCTATAGAGCTTACAATTAGGTCCGCGCTTATAGCAGTGCAACATATTATTAAGTTAATTTGATTAAGGGTTACTGGAAATATTTTCTTGAACTTCTATAGGTTGATTTGAAAGACTTCCTTTGATTAGTAACCACTATTAATTCAATAAGTAACTGGACATAATGATACTTATACAGTGAACTGGTCAAGTTAATAAAGGTTGATTAGGTTAGGTTAACTCATGTTAATCATACTTCAATAGAAAGTAATATCATACAACTATATGTATCTCCTTATAGTAGATTCTCATGCAAATATTCCACAGAAATGATTACCACTTTGGTTACGTTTCAGGAAATCAAATTACGTCTGGAAATTTTGTCGGTGATTTAAGTGGAGCAAACGATGTTTAAATTCGTCCTTGAACTCAAGATTAAGAAATACAATGTATGATTGCTTCCAATGAAATATAACTGATGTTGCCATCTGTCCTGGGTTTGTCTCTGATATTAACCTCATGCTATGCAGAAAAAAGAAATACAACATGATCCCTATAGTACTACAGTCTATCTACAGTCGTCATGTAATTTGATATTTCGGTAATTACTTAATACTTGTAACAAAATACAAAATTACTCGCATGGATTCCTTTCATGTCAATAGGATATGTTTCATATCAAAGTGGCTTTTAAGATATTAAACTCTCAATCAATTACAGGATTGTCCCTCCGATATATGTGTCTTGTCATAGCAAGACAGTAGGCCTAATATATTGTTGGTTATATGACACATTTCAAGTTAAAATTATTTTTTGCATTGTGCATCTTTAGTCAAATGCAAGAAACACAAATATTTTTCATATGATTGATTCAGGCTGCACAAACAACTAATGAGTAAAATAAAAACGAACTACAAGATATTCGTGATGGGCTCCCTGAGGTCCGCGCTCACAATTAAATTATATTCACTCTTAACTTGCAATATTACAAGACTATGCTACGCAATATGTCATTTGACTTAATATACAAATAAATAGACTCAAATCGCATCGACGGATCAAATTAGGTTAAATTAGAGGCTTGATACTGAAAAAATCATTGTCTTGTCGTTTTATGATTTTTTTTATTGTTGTGAATAATAATTTTGATTTGATCAATAAAACACTGGTTTAAAATTTACAATGGCTCCACTCGAAACTCATTATTACCGGAATATATTGATTAAAATTACGCTTTTTTCCGAAAAGCAATGTAAGAAACAATTACAATATTGATTGGAGACTGGTGGAGACGTATTTCATGATTTTCAAAAATAGTTCATTGAGAAAATTTGCATAATTCGTATTCAGTTTAGATTTTGTTATTTTTTTTTGTTTTTTTTTTGAAAATGTAGATCTTTTATACCTTGTAGTTTTTTTTTCATTGAAAACTTTCTTGATCGCGTCAGCGGCTATACTAGATGAGTGGGGGGCTCGTGGACTTAAGCGGGTTGTGGTCCCTCAACAAGGAATATTATTTGCTCTTGCTTTTTTTTCTGGGGGTGGGGCACCCTTAAAGGGTAAGCATAGTCAATATCTCAAAATTATTATAGAATATCTCATAACATTAACTTTTGTAATGTTTTAAAATATGTTTGGCTGGATTCTTTAAGTTTAAACTTTCAGATACGTTCAAGGGCACATTTCTCTAGGTTTTGGTGTAAAGTTCTCACAAATTTGAACAAAATAAATTTGGAATGACCCTTTAAGGGTAGGGGGCCGTGGATTTCGTTCAATCAGTCCCTATTTCAAAAAAAAAAATGTGGTTTTTTTTTAAATTTATATTAGTGTTTTTTTTTAAAACTTTATATTAGAATCACATTTCATTGATTGACACCTCTAAATCTCATATAATCAAATATCTTTTCTTTTGTTCACTTTAATGTCGTTAGATTTCTTTCTGAGAAAATCTCAATTTTTCTGCCACATACTTCAGATGTAATTAGGCCTTTTCCCTATTTTATACTATTTTCTATGGAGTGCATTTCAAACGGAGAAAAATCTCGATTGTCAATTAATGAAGAATAAAAACCTTTTTACTTAAATTATGTGTAACTAAGACTATGGTTTCTATGGCAACATGAGTGTTAAAGATTTTTTCAACATATTTTGTTCTTACGATATTAATATTCCCGGTAATATTTCATTTAGTTCCTTTAAATTTCTTCAAATATTCCAGCATATCCGATTAAACATCAAATAAAACGTACCCTAATGATAATAATGAATTCTTGATACTGAAACAGTCAGTATATCATTGTTGCTACTAAATAGCTAATATTTCACCTTTAATATGAACAGTCAGTATATCATTGTTAATACTGAACAGTCAGTATATCATTGTTAATACTGAACAGTCAGTATATCATTGTTGATACTGTACATGTAGTACATCATTGATATCATTGTTAATACTGAACAGTCAGTATATCATTGTTAATACTGAACAGTCAGTATATCATTGTTAATACTGAACAGTCAGTATATCATTGTTGATACTGTACATGTAGTACATCATTGATATCATTGTTAATACTGAACAGTCAGTATATCATTGTTGCTACTAAATAGCTAATATTTCACCTTTAATATGAACAGTCAATATATCATTGTTAATACTGAACGGTCAGTA